TTTTTTTTTGTGGAACCAGGGATTGAACTCAGACCTTTGTGCTTGCCAGGGAAGCACTTATTCCACTGAGCCATCTCCCTGGCCCCTTTCTTTCTGACCCTATCCACTGTCACTGTACAGTTAAGGGGGAAGTTGAAGTATAATTTGTTTCTCCTCTGAGCCATTCATCCGTAATAGGATAACAAATCCTATTCCAAGGGGGGTGGCCCAGGGAGACTAGAATGAACTAGATTAAAAAACAGCAAGGTAATATAAAAGAAAACAGAAATATCTTCTAAAAATTTTATTTTTAAGTGGCAAGGATATAGTTCATAAAGGTGCATATAACTAGAGTTACTTCTATTCATACTATTTTCTTCATTAAAATAACTGTGTATATGTTAATGTGTTTACAATGTTGTCCTGAAGGTGTGACATTTCTTTTCCAAAACTGTGCTGAGAATTACTCTTAATAAATAACATTACAAGCTGATGATGCAGCTCAACTGTACAGTATGTGTTGTGAATACAAGAGGTTCTAGATTTAATCTGCAGCAACACAAACAAAACAAAATGAAAAAAACAAAACAAAACAAAGAAACACAGGGCACACTATTTTACCCAATGGGATTTGTCTATACTTTCTTCAGATAATCAAGTGACATGACATAAAAAAAATTAAACTTCACAATGAAATGAAAAAAAATCTCAAATGTACTCACCAAATTGCATGCCCCAATCACCAAGGTAATTTATTCTTGTTACTTGATGTCCTAAGGCTTCTTTGAGATTGGCTATAAAATTTCCTAGTAATCAATAAAATATACTTTACATTTGTTATTCATTTTGGCTTAAGAATCATGTGTTTCTCTAGTACAAAAACAACATAAAAAATTCACAAAATTTACTAACTCAATTTTTTAAAAAAGTAAAATATTCACTGATTTTTCACCTATGTCATAGACAAACTTTTCAGCAATATTAGAGAATGCATTTTATTTATAGGCCATTCCAAGGACAGATTATAAATGAATCTTATTAACTAATAAGAAATTACCACTACATAGTTTTGGGGTGTGCCTGAGCTTTTGTATTTCTATAAGCTCCAAATCAATACAGTCTCAGCAATAGGAAATACCTTCAGCTGCTACTCAGACTATACACCCTTTGCTTAGCACCTTGTTACCTCCAAAATCAATTAAATCTCTGAACTAGTCTTTTGGAATTAAGACTAATGTCACATCCTGGTCAGAATACCTACTATTCGTGTGATCTTAGAAAAGTTACCTTTGATATCCGAATTTCTTCACCAAAGTTAATAGTACTTAACAATCTGGGCTATTGTGACATTAAAAAAGTAAAACACTGCATAAGTAATATTCAATAAACACTATCTCTTCCCAATCCATGTTCTTTAATGACTATCCAAACAACTTTATAGTGCCCTACCTACCATTTACCACTCCTGGACTTTAACTTACTCATGTGACTTTTCCTATACAATACATATTATATATTCTTTTTCACTGTCTTATCATTTCCTCTTAAAACACTCCCCAAGAACTTTGTAACAAGGCCAGCCAAATAGCTCAGTGGAGTTAAGTGCCTGCTTAGGCAGACACAGGGGCCAGGCTTTGATCCTGAGCCTGCCATGCCAGCCCCACCACAGGGCACGCTGAGAAGGAGATTGAGACTGGGCGTGGTGGCATGCATCTATGATCCCAGCACTTGGGAGGGTATAAACAGGAGGATCACTACAAGTCTGATCTACGTAGTGAGAGCCAGTAGACCCTGTACTAAATACATTAAAAATAAATAAATTGGACTGCTGCAAAATGCAATGTTTTAAATAACTGAATATTTTAAGTGTTTTAAGCACAGAAATCTCATAGCTATGAAGTAGTATAATCTCTCTTTAGTAGAATGGCCTTATTTTGATATCCAGTCTTAAAGATTACTGTTCTTATATTATTGAGACTGAGATTCCTTTTTAATGTAAAATATAGGAATAGGAAAAAACCTGTGGGGAAAGGTTGAGCTGTGCTGAGCCGGAGGTCAGCAAATTCCCTGAGACCCAGAGCAAAGCAGGTCCCACGGACATGGAATGCCAGAGGCAGACCGTATAAACAAGCTGGTCTCTAGCTCAGGTGCTTACTGACAGGTGTCTAGCCTTGGTGTTCTTCCTGGTTGAAAATGTCTCGCTTTCCGTGTTCTCAGCAAAATGCTCTTGCTCATACTGCTTTCTCCCCTTTTTTACTTTGTATACATAAAGACACTGGATTTGGGACTTTGTTGCTGCTCTCTAGAGGTCAGGCTCCCGCTGGTCCCAGCTCTCCTTTTACGTGTCTTGTTTCACCTTAACCACCCATAGCCCCCTCTCAGGACCTGTGCAGGTGCAGGTTGAGGCAAAAAGCAACTCAGAGTTGCTATCATCCCCACATGGCTTTTACTGTATCAGTTCTTCCAGAAAGTTAAAACCAAACCAGTTAAAATATTACTGAATTAGTATTTGTTTCTGAAATTTCATCTTTAAATTTTACAGCAAGTTTTCTCATTTCATGTCATATTCAATTAGCATGAGTCTCATATCAACCTAAGCCTCTTTGTGTTTTTCTTCTACCCTTTTATTACTTTAGCACTTAACTATGACACCTTTTATCCTACACTATTCCCAAAGGCACGTTTAAGCATTGACCATGAAAAGAAACATTTACCTATGATAGTAGAACGCAGATGTCCAACATGAAATTTTTTGGCAACATTAGGTGAACTGCAAGAAATTGCAAAAGTTATTTTTACTCTAAAAACACGAGTTCTGAGAACGAGCTTGATCATGCATCCATAGGTTTACACAATGAGGAACTACGACCGTTGGCAACTTAGGGCAAAGATAAAAGAAATTTAAAGTAAAGATATGTCAGAATTCAGAATCCTTTTCATGAGATTGATCCTGTGATTCGTGAAGTAATGTTCTACAGAGAATTGTCATACAAACGAAGCAGATATACTTAAGGACTGAGTAAAAAGATAAAGAAATTCAGAGATATTCTTCTGGACAAAATCAATGCTGAAAATTGCATTTGAGAATGACGCTTGGTGCCCCCACTCCTAGTCTTTATCCTCTTAAAGAGAACTGAAGGAAGCCACAGACATTTTGTTCTTACTTGTTATAAGTCAGTAAATACTGTATCAGAAATTAAAATTGGGGCCTGGGAGATAGCTCACTAGCATAAGCACCTGCCTGGCAAACACAAGGTCCTGAGTTCAATCCCTGAACCAAAAAATAAATAAATAACTGAAAAATAGAAAAACATTTATGCATAAAACCTCCTAGAAGGGGCCAGGGAGATGGCTCAGTGGAATAAGTGTTTCCCTGGCAAGCACAAGCGTCTGAGTTCAATCCTTGGTTCTGCCAAAAAAAAAAAAGCAACAACAAAAAACCCTCCCAGAGGGACTCAGGTCAACAATTTCTGACATTGCCAGTTAAACAGAAGACCCAATGCTATTATGGGCTACTGGACTCTTTTAGAATATTTTGCTGAGTTTACACACCTATAATATTCAATAACGGAACTTAGAAAAAATGGGGTATACAGATGAATGTCCATTTTGTATCTGTGTACTCAAAGTGGTTAGGATAGATATATAGTTACATTCTCTTAATGAATAGAATGATTTGTTCTAATGGTGTTTGTAAATAGGATCTCAAGTCCGCATCTTGTATAGCAATTAACCACTAAGAAGAATGTATGCAGTGTGTTAATTATTGAAACTGTCCTAGCGATTTGATTTGAAACTGTCTCATTGCTATTTGTTTATCAATAAAATTATGAAAAAAAAAAACCCTCCCAGAATAACTAGAGTCCTGATTTACCCTCCAAAAAAAATTTTTTTTTCTTTTATACTGAGGATCGAACTCAGGACCTTATGCTTTCCAGGCTGGCACTTATGCCACTGAGCTATCTTCCCTCCCCTACCACTCCAAATTCTTTTTTTCTTTTGGTGGAACCGAGGATTGAACTCAGGCCCTTGTGCTTGCCAGGGAAGTGCTTATTCTGCTGAGCCATCTCCCCAGCCTCCCACTCCAAATTCTTAATCATTGGATTTATCAGCCTTGTATGCACTCAAGAAGTTATAATCAAACCACTTAATTGTATCAAATGCTTCTAAAGCTCTTTATGTGCATTAACTCAAGTAATACTCATAAGTATTCTCTGTTATATGTATGCTTGAAAACCTCATTAAAGTTTCAGTATTAAAAAATATAAATCAGGGCTGGGGATACAGCTCAGTGGCACAGTGCCTGCTGGCCAAGTGTGAGGTCTTGAGTTTGATTCCCAATTTAAAAAAAAAAAAAAAAAATACACACACACACACACTCTCTCTCTCTCTCTCTCTCTCTCTCTCTCTCAATTTGAACATAGGTGGTCAAAAATGAAAATTTGAGCTTAAATTTTGGCTTTGTCTCTATTATCTTGTTACATACCATTTTAAAGAGTAATATAATTGAAAAACTTGATCCTACAGGTAAGTAAAAATAATTGTGGGATTATGAAACGACACAGCTGTCCATTCAAGTGTTATTTACAAGTGAGGTATATATTCTTGTATAGGCTTAAAAAAATTGGGAATCTTTCATTTCAAACCAAAAGAGAATAAAACTGGACAACCGGAAGTAAAGGACTATAACCTCTGAGAGAATGACAGCAACCAAGCTGAGTGCTTGGAGTACACCACGTTCCTGCCTTCCTCCTGCACTTGCATGATACGGCCAAAGCAGAAAACTCTATGGCATGAAATGCTTATGTTAGGGGAAAAAAAGGAAGGTTTCAAATCAATAATCTCCTTTAATAAACTAGAAAATGTAAAAAAAAGAAACTAGAAAAAATGAACAAATCAAATGGAAAGGAAGCACGAGCGAAGAGGAAAGGGTAACATCAGAGAGGAAAGAGGTAATACTTGCAAGGCTTGTGCCCAGTTCATCACGAGTAGTGCCTACCCTGATACTTCATCACACTGCCCTGGGCCTGTCAAAGCTACACATGAGAATCCATACTGTCAAGAGAAGCAGTAAAAGGACACAGGTTTAGAATCAGAGTTCACACTACAAACCTGGGCAATTTATTTAATCCAGTAGTATCATCAGCTTAATTTAGAGGGAAATAGTTTTGAAGACAGTGATTATATATTGTGCTTTTTTTTTTTAGGGGAAAGTTGTCTGCTCTGTTTGACTAGTTTATGTTTTAAAAATTCTCTTGTACCTATTTTTCTTTTTTGGGGGGTGTGGGGTGGGGAGGGTACTGGGAATCAAACTGAGGACCTTATGCTTGCCAGGTGAGCTGTAACTCATCTACTTCTTTCTTTCAAAAGAAATTCAAGAACAATGTTTTCTATCAACCAGATACTTCCCCCACCGACTGTCTCTACTTTGAAATTACAATGGTAAGAAAGCACTGCAGGGGCCGGGGAGATGGCTCAGTAGGATAAGCGCTTGACTGGCAAACGCAAGGATCTGAGTTCAATCCCCAGTTCCGGAAAGAAAAAAAAAAAAAAAAAAATGAGTAAGAAAGCACTGCAGCATCCAGAAAACTGAGGAGAGAGGAGCAAGACCCCCAGCAATGCTGGAAGAGAACTGTCACAGAGGCGTGCTAGCTGCTGACACAGGCTCTGCCTTCTCTGGAGTTCACATGCTCAAGTGAGCTCCAGCCTTCCTTAACTGCTTTAGAAAAAACAGAGGGACAATCCCATCAACAAAGTAGTACACAGAAACCCAAAGCATACAAGTAATTTTTAGACACTCCTTGAGGATTGTGTATGTACGTGTACAGTACTAAGGATTGAATCCAACATCTCACATATTCTAAACAAATGCTCTCCACTTAACTACAATCCCAACCCCTACTCGTGTTTTGAGACGAAGCCTCACTGCACTGCGTCGCTCAGGCTGGCCTAAAACTTGAGATCCTCTTGCTTCAGCCTCCTGAGCAGCTAGAATTACAAGCATGTGCAATCACACATTGCTTTTTTTGTTTTGTTTGGGCGGTACCGGGGATTGAACTCGGGATCCTGCACTTGCCAGACGAGCGCTTATTCTACTGAGCTGTCTCCCCAGCCCACATTGCTTATTTTTTGTACCTGGTACAGAGTCTCACCACATGCAGATTGGACCCTTAGTGATCCTTCCATTTTCAGCCTCCCCAGCACTAGGATCACAGGCATGCGCCACCATGCCTGGCCTCAGTGGCCAGCTCAGTGTGCCTGGGGGCATGGCCGGTGCAGTCTGTGGTGCTGGGAATTGAATCCTGGACCCTGCGCTTGCCTAAGCAGGTGCTTAGTCTGCTAAGCTATCTCAACAGTCTTCAGATATGGCCTAATAGGCATACGGGAGTAGGGGTAGAGATGGGGGTGGGGGTGTTATAGAGGAAAAAATTTAAAGGAAAAAAGCCAATGAAGGATGAAAGACTGAAGTCTTGGTATTTCGAGAGCTCAGTTAGGGTGAAAGTATAGTAAAGGTGAGATAAAAATATGGAGTGTCAAGAACTGAGTACAGATGACTTTTCCAGCTTTGAAAAACTTACAGTGACATTATCGCAAGGATAAAAGCAGCGTGGTAGCAGATGCTGTACTGCCTCCCAGAGAATGAAACAAGGGCCCTTCGCCAATTCAAAGACAGGAATGAACTACAGATGGTTACACGTTTTTTTGGCCAGTTTTACCATAAAGAGTGAACCTGGGGTGATTTTGTGACTCGCTTTGATAGCAAAGTGACAAAGGTAACATTAGACCTGTTCCAAGACTAGATGCTTTCACTATTTTGGAGCTCTGAGCAGCTTGTGAAGATCTGGCTGCCCTCTTAGACAGACTGCATGGAGCAAGAAGCATGGCCAGCCGAGCCGAAGAGTCACCAGATTTGTAGCCCCAGTAAAGGCTGCAGAACACCAGAGTTACATAAGGAGGTCTCAGGCCAGCATAAGAACTGTTAAGTAGACCCAAATGACCAATCTCCAGTCCCACTGCCTGCCCTATGGTTCATGTGCATAAAAATAGTTGTTGCTGTAAAAATTTTTTTTACTAGTACATGTTTGCAATACATAATGATTTCTGACCCTATACCATGGGGTTGTTGTACGGAACTAATCAGGATCTGGCAAACTGTCTCTTAAGCCGACAGGAAATATTGTAATAGGGTTTTGAGCCATCTGGTCTATCTCTACACAGTTCAATTTAGTTTTATTGTGCTAAAATGCCACCATAAGGGGCCTGGCCCTAGCTCAGTTCTTTAAGTGGCTGCTTCGGCAAAGCTTTCAGCTCAGGTTGCTGTAGTTCGATCCCCAGAACACTCCAGCCAGCCAAACCACCCCTGAGGGCATTCAGAGAAAAAAAAAAAAAAAAATCCTTATTCCATTTTTGGGGCCAGGGAGATGGCTCAGTGGAATAAGTGCTTCCCTGGCAAGTGCACGGACCTGAGTTCAATCCCTGGTTCCGCCAAAAATAAAAATAAAAAAAATAAAATGCCACCATAGTATGAGAACAGCTACTGTAGACAACATACAAACAAATGTACACGACTGCGTTCTATTAAAACTTTATTCACAAAAACAGGTGACAGACTACATATTGTCCAGTGGCTGAAGAATGCCCATCTTTGTACTAAGCTTTGTAACGTGTTCTAGATCACTAGGTCAACAGGCAACTTTCTTAAGAGGATAGGATTCATTTAGTGCCTCACTAGAATGAGGACAACATGAAGTCCCTATACTCTGTCATCAACAAATGTTTAAATTTAAAATTGGGGGGGGTGTATCAGGAATCAAACTCACACTTGCCACTGAGCTAAATCTCTGGCCCTTAAATTTAAATTTTAATGTGATTGTGTTGCACTGACAATAAAAGAGTCTCTCATATGTTTCCACAGTAGGGGAAATTTACTCAGCCATCAATCTTTCTCATAATCTACTAAGTCTGAGTGCTAGTCTGCCTTTTTTTAGGAACAAGACCAAGTAGCACAGAGCACACGTGGGATATGAACAAGCCATTCTTTCACTGATCATCTAAGTTGGTAATCATAACTAAATCTAAAAGTTATTATAAAGTTCAATGAGGGAGTGAATATAAAAGGTTTCCTGTATCAATTTTTAAAAATCCACCATAAGGGCCAATGAAATAGTTAAGCAGTCTAAGTAGTGCCTGCCTGGCAAGTGATGGGACCAGGGTTCGATCCCCAGCATCCTATGCAGCCCTGGGTGCACTAAGCCAGTCACTGAGTCCAGGTATGGTGGTGCATACCTACAATCACTACAATTCCGAGCTGCATAGTGAGATCCTGTACAAAATACATAAAATAAATACATAAATAAACCAACAAACCACCATGGAAATATATATGTAAGAAAGCAAAATGATTTTCCAAGCCCTATCTTACAGTATAGAAAAGCACTTCATTAAGACTCTTCCTCTTGTGACCAATGAGATAGCTTAGTGGCACAAGTGTCTGCCTGGCAAGCACGAGGTCCCCCAAAAAGATGCTTCTTCATCTTTTAGGAAGACAAATGTAATATGTAAAAAGTTTTTTTTTTTTTTTTTTTGTACTGTCAACCTATCAGCCATACTAGGAAGGAGTTCTTAATGTTATTTATAGCTTATTTCCAAACAGTCCAAATATTAGAAGGTGTTACTGATAGAAATTTACAAAGGTATACAGAGGTTATTTCAAAACTTATTAAAACCTCAAGCTCTTTTTTTGTTAACCTTTAAAACATGCTACAATTGAGACAGGATATCAGGTCTGCATCTTGTACAATGAATAACCACTAAGACAACAATATGCAATGTATTAATTATTGAAAATGTACTAGTAATCAGTTGTGAAACTGTCTCATTGCTATTTGTTTCTCAATAAAAATATTTTAAAAAATATGCTACAGGGCCGGGAAGATGGCTCAGTGGAATAAGCGCTTCCCTGGCAAGCTCAAGGGCCTGAGTTCAATCCCCAGTTACCCCCCAAAAAAAGAAAAAAAAAATGCTACAATAGTGTAAGGCTTTGTTCTCTGATCATTTAAAAATTCTTAATATATCAGAGTAGCTATAATCCTGTGTCCTGTGTGTCTTCTAAAATGAGTAACTAGGTCTTCCAAAAGAATAATTGTCTGATACTTATTTTAAAAAGAGAAAAAAAAATCACTATGCTTTTTTTTTTCTTCAAGAAATGAGCTAAATGGTTCAAAATTTTATTTTTTTCCTCTTGAACATATCAAGTACAGTGTTGAAGAGTAGTGTTAGTGGGCAGCTTTCTCTTATTCCTGACTTAAGACGGAAAGCTTTCAGTTTCCCCGCATTTAATATGATGCTGGCGGTAGGTTTGGCATAAATGGCTTTTATCAGATTGAGACAGGATTCTTCTATACATATTTTCTCCAGGGTTTTTAGTCATAAATGGATGAATTTGGTCAAAGGCTTTTTTTGTATCTATTGATATTACATGATTTGTATTCTTGCTTCTATTTATGTGAGTTATTACATTTATTGATTTGCATATGCTGAACCGTCCTTGTATCCCTAGGATGAAGTCTACTTGGTCATGGTGTATGATCTTTTTTGATGATTTGTTGCATCCTGTTTGCCAGTATCTTTTTATTTTTTTAGAAATTTATTTACTTTTCTTCTTGACACACAATCTCACTCTATATAATTCAGGTGAGTCTTACACTTACTATTTAGCCTAGGCTGGCCTCGAACTCACAACATCCTCTTGTCTCAGCCTCTGAGTGCTGGGATTACAGGCGTGCACCACCATACCTACTATCTGTATCTTTTTTGAGGATCTTTGCATCTGTGTTTAGTAGAGAGATTGGTCTGTAACTCTTCTGGTTGGACTCTTTCTGAATCGACATGATACTAGTTCCAGCTTACCACACAGAGAAGGGTCAGCATCCAGAAAGCAAATAATAACAAATGTTGGCAAGGCTTCAGGGAAAAGGGAACACTTCTACACTGCTGGAAGGAATATAAGCTATTACATCCAGTATGGAAACCAGTATGAAGATTCTTTTAAAAACTAAAAACAGCAATTCCACTTGATGCAGCTGTTCCTCTTCAGGTGTCTTCCTGGAAGAGTTAGAGACATTATATACAGTGATACATGCGCATCTATGTTTATAGCAGCAAAAAAAAATTTTTTGGGGGGGGACAGAACCAGGGATTGAACTCAGGCCCTTGTGCTTGCCCAGGGAAGCACTTATTCCACTGAGCCATCTCTCCGGCCCCCACAATGTTCTTTTATGTTACTGTTTTTGTTTCTTTCTTTCTTTCTTTAGAACAATTTTCCTAATAACTAAATATGGAAAGCAGCTGCCGGCACATCCATGAACAAATGAATGGACATATAAAACGCAGTATCAACACACAAGAGTACCAATCTGCCGTAAGGAAGATTGCCTTGAATCACGTGTGGAAAACGGTTATACCTGAGACCATAATTCGATGAAAGAAATCAGACACACAAACTTAAATACTGTATAGTTTCTCTTAGGAGAACCTCAAATTCTAATTAGCAAAATATGTGAAGGAGATCAACATATGGAGAAAGGGACAAGGTGTGCAATTCCAGCAATCAGGAGGCTGAAGAGAACTGCTGAGTTCAAGGCCAGCATGGGCTTCACAGTGAGTTCAAGGCCAGCCTACACTACATAGTGAGACCCTGTCTCAAGAAACAGAAATCAAAAAACAAAACAAAAGATGGAGGAAAGAGATGGGAGAGACAGTGGATGAAAATTTAGCAAGACCCTAAATGATGAGGGCACTGTGCTCCCTGCCCTCTCAATTATTCAACGCATAAAGTGAGTAGGTACCTGAATTCTACAATGACCTTCTTCTGTGGAAGACCGGAGAAAAGTTCACTTTTTAATCCGTATTTTGAGCCATCTTCAATTACTTGTTGTAGCACTGCCTAGAAAATAAAAGTAATGGGATTTAATCACAAAATATTGTGATAGTCTTACTTTGTCACTGAGAATTAAAAGTTGCTAACTTATTCAGTGTAGTTCAAGGAGCTTAGAATTTTATACCTGTGAGTAGCACCACCTCTAGCACTGTAGCAGGCAATACAGATCCCCAAAAGTCAGTAAATCTCAACTCTCCATCCCTACAGAAAGCAAGGATGTACATACTTATAGATGAGGAAACTGAAGCTCAGTGAGAGGAAGTAACTGCCACAGGCTGCACAGTAAATACTAACAAAACCAGAAGGAGCATCTACCTTTCCTGACTGCATTCTATACGCCAAGGATTGTGCTAAGCATTTTATATGTACCAGCTCCTTTAATCCTGACAACAGCTTCAGAGGTGAATAGTATTTTTACAAACAAGGAAAAATAAAACACTGAGATTACAGTCACACTGCTATGAAGTTATGTAGATAAATATTTTCCCATTCCACATAGTAAATCTATTAACTAGTGCATGTATGCAATTGCTGCTTTTGTGACAACAATTCATGAATTATGGTAGGAGTTAAAGAAAGACATGTAATTAAAAGCCTATTGGGGGGCCAGGGAGATGGCTCAGTAGAATAAACATTTGCCTGGCAAGTGTAAGGGTCTGAGTTCAATCCCCGGTTCCAAAAAAAAAAAAAAACGTTTTGGCTATATGTGACACACAGGACATTGTGAAGAAACTTCCAAAATACACTCTAGGTTAATTTTTAGTTACTAACACATAACTTTTATAGTTCACAAAATTCATGCTTTGTTTAGTGCTAATTGTGATCATGTATTTTTCAAAATATAGAAATTAACATGATAAATTTTTATTTACACTTACATTGGTTTTGCTTCACCAAGTATATTTTGAGTAGTAAAAATGTATTTTGCGTGAAGAATTTTATTACAAAAAAGAGATGACTAGAATGATTATAAATGGAACAGAGAGAAGGGAACAGCAGGCAGTAAAACAATGTATAGTCAACAGATAAAAGGCAGCAACCAGAGCACTGGATGAGGCGCTCCTATATGTCATCTTTACTCCACATAATCTTAAACACAGGCAACATGTCCCATTTAATGGAAAACTAAAGTTCAGAACATGTACTTGTTCAAGGATACAGAAAATAATGTTCTGTTTACTCACATTCTACACGAGGAAACAAAGAGAAACAGACATTACATTGAATAGTATCAGTCATGTAAGAGAGGCCCAATCAGTTTACGACTGTAAGTGGAGAGAGGTAAACGCTAACCGTATTCAGACTAATTTAAGGCATACAGATTTTTTTCCCTTCCCATCACTTTGTATGGAATAAACAGGACACTCTCTAAAAGCTAATACCAATGTTAGAATTCTTAGCAAATTACCCTTTTCACTGACTTCTCTGGCACAAACAAATAAACCACTTCAATAAAAGATTCCTGTTGCCTGTGAAACCCAACTGCTAGCTAGCTTCTTTTCCTATTTCACCAACCTATTCACAGAATCAATAATATTTTAACGACCAAATTCCAAATGAACACTTAATTGCTTACATTTTTACAAATACATTCTCCTTGAAAAACTAAAAACATAAGCATTTAAGATAAATCTAAGTCCCTTCCCCATTTTTTTCTAACCTGTCCTTATATTTCTTTCCTCCCATCCCCAGGGTAACCACTTCTGCTTCTCAGTATCCTTTATTGTTTTCTCTTCCACCATTTTACTTTCCTCCTGCACTCCATGTTCTTGTTCTAGTTTATTTTACATTGTTTTATTGGTATCAGGACCTTGCCCTTGCCAGGCACTCACTTGTGTCGCTGAGCTACGTCTGTGGCCCTAGCTTCTTACTTTACACTTCTGGTGACTTACACTGCTTCCTACAACTACAGCTTACCTCAGCAATCTCCCTCGCACTACAAATCGATACTCAGCTGAGGACTGGCCATGTCTGTCAGGCACCATAAATGGAAAATGCCTGCAATTCTTTTTTTTTTTTTTTAATTTTTTTTTTTCACTTTTTATTTATTTGTGTGTGTGTGTGTGTGTGTGTTTGGCCAGCTCAGCCCACCAGGGGGCGGGGCTGGCTGGCATGTGGTGCTGGGGGATCGAACCGTGGTCCCTGTGCTTTGCTAAGCTTGTTCTAAGTAGGTGCTTTAGACCACTGAGCCATCTCACCAGCCCCACCTGCAATTCTTTCTACATTCTCCTCCATTTCCACAAACTTTCCCCCCATTCAGCCAACTAACCAAGTCAGGTAGGAGCTTCTAACGTGAATTCTTTCTCTCAACCTCCAAAATTAATTGTCAAACCCTGTGCATGTCTGCTCCCAAATACCATCACAGGTGTTCCCTCTCCTTGTTTTAGAAAATTACCTGCCAATTACACCACTGCAAAAATAGTCACAACAAAATAATACCTCTTTTCTTATATTACTTTGGTGGAGGGTGCTGGGACTGAACCAGGAGCGCCACACACATTCCACCACTACACTACATCTGCAGTTCCTTAGAAAAAAACCCTCATGTTTAACCAAGTACATGTTCTATCTGATCTCTGCAGTGAATCTCCACAATTTAGAAGACTACTGGTCAGGTGGTACATGCCTGTAATCTCAGCATTCTGGGAGATTGAGGCAGGAAGATTTCAAGCTCAAATCCTGCCTGGTCAATTTAGTGAGACCTCTATTAAAAAAAAAAAAAAGGCTAGGGATGCAGTTCAGTGCAAAGGCCTTAGGTTCAATTCCTACTATGACCAGAAAGGGAGAGAAGGAGAGAAGGAGGAGGAAGGAAAGGAGAAAAAGAAAGAGGAAGGGAGGGAAAAAGGAAAGGAGGGAGGGAGGAAGAGAGAGAGGGAGGCAGAGAATATGAAGGAAGAAATGGAGGGAGGAAGGGGAGGGAAGGAGAAAAAAGAAAAATGAAGAAAGAAGAGAAAATTATACGCATACCACTTTTTTATTATTTGGAAATTTGTTGAAAGGCATAATTTTAAAATCATAAATCACAAGTTAGAAGCACTGGTATTTTTTGCAATAAATATCTAACTATTAAGATAAATAAATTTGTTATATTATCAAAATTCATTACATGTGCCTCCTGTGATATATACTCATATTCTATGCATAAACATTTTTAGTGCATGTATAAAACATGGATGAAACTCCTATGCCAAGAATGTAAGACTGGGCCAGGGAGATAGCTCAGTGGAATAAGTGCTTGCCTGGCAAGCACAATGACCCGAGTTTGATCCCTGGTACCACCAAAAAAAAAAAAAAAAAGAAAAGAAAAGGAAAAAAAAAGAATTTGGGGCCTGGGAGATAGCTCAGTAGAATAAGCCAAGGGCCTGAGTTCAATCCCTGGTTCCGCCAAAAAAAGAAAAAGAATGTAAGATACTTCAAATGATCCAAGTTCATATCCTCCGCTGTGTCACCCTGTGTGCAAACCACACTTGGCTATGTGACCTCCAGCCAATGCCACGTTCTTCACTGACTGTACCCTGCCCAAGCCGCACCCTCTGCCTCGAATGCCTGATCCCGCGTCTTCCACGTGCATTCTTCTCCTCATCCAATTCAAGGTCATGTCCTCACTGCTTAGGATGGACTTACGTATGCATTTCTTTACACTAAGATTGCATTCTACATATCATAATACAATCACAGTATACATTATCACACTCATATTTTACACTATAACTTTTTCATGCTTTTATCTGACTCTAAGTTCCTTGAGGTTACCATCCACACCATTTAATCTTTAGCTGTCAGGAACACAATCCTTATCAAATAATAAGCAGATTAGTGGGCAAAGAGATGAAAGCTTTTAACTACAGAATGTCAGTGAGCTACTGGAGTTCCTGGTATTCCAGTAAGTGAATACACTAGAAGCCCATCTATCTATCAATATGCATGCTGAAATGTAACTGTATTCAGCAACGTAAATACTGATGCAGAAGAAGTTTTAAACAGAAATGAATCTTTTTTAAAATATGCTTTTGGAATGTTTTAGCAAATGAATATTCCAATTGACTGGTACTTTCTCTATCAGCATCATCTTTTTAACCTGCATTATTTCTATCATTGCAATGATATGGCTCCTAAAGGACTGTTTAGGATGCTACTGCTGCCTACTTGCCTCATCATTTCTTTGGGAAACAGCTGTGTTTAAACCACTCATTCTTTCCATGTGTTCACAGAAACTACCTAGACTTGAGTGTATCCACAGTCCATGGCTGCCTAAGAGCAAAATTCCATTCATGAATGAGAGAAATGGAGTGATTTACTTTCTCTGTTTTTCCCCACTTTTGGTAGAGCATACAAAAGTAAACTTCTCAAAAAATATATGTAAAAGGATACTGTCCATCATGCAGGGTAATTGTAAGACATATCTAATAGGGTTTTGTCTGCATTTTAAGATTTAAAAATCTGATTTAAAAATCTGACCACACTGTATTTTCTTTTTTCCCTCTTAACCAATATTACTCAGTTACAATTTTTCTAGAAAGCTATCTGCGTGCTACTCACAGATGCAAACTTGGTACCAGAGTGGCAGTTCTTTACAATGTCATTATGGTTACGCTTCAAGCAGAGAATGAGTCCTAAGAAGGGCTGAACTTTTTTCATTTGATCTGAAAAATTCACTAGACTTACAGGATTACCTGTTCTATAAGACCTTACTAGAGCAATTTGTATATAAGATTTCTCTCTCTAGGGTAGTAGTGCTAAAGCTATGGTATATGTGTTGTTTTCAATTATGGATTTTTTTTTCTAAACCAAAATCTCAGTATTCGGGTTTAACTGCAGAGTTGACATTTTATGATAAATAAGTGGGTTTTGTGATGCAGTTTGGGCACTTGTCTCTAAAAAAGGAGCCATCAATACTCTAGGTCTTCCTGATTTCTCCATCTCTAAACTTTTTTATGCTTATTCTATCAACCACCTTTTTCTGCTTTGATATTTACTGGGTTATTGAAAGAAAAGCTGTTTCTTAAGTTTTTTTTCTGTATGCTTCCAACAGACTGCAGGAAGTAGAAATCAATATCCTTTTCCTGTATTAAATACACAGTCTACTTATTCACTCATCGAATAGTTGTCTAGCATCTATGACAGGCAAGGCTCTGGGCTATAAATTGGAGATCCAACAGTGAGTAAAACAGATTCTATAACCCTACTGGGAAATGCAGCTTAAAGGGCATGTGACATTAACAAAATAGAAGGAATATACAATAGCAACTACCACAAGTTGTGCAAATGAGAGATACACAGGGCTGTGAGAAAACATAACTAAAAGGATTAGAAAACTATCACTCAGAGCCACTCAGGCAGGAGCCTTAGTATGTGTGAATGCTGTGAGGCAAGGGGAGGCACGAGGTCCAGAGCTAGGGACAGTCAGCCTGGTGAGGGCACAAACAGTGGGCAAGCACAATGGCTCCACAGCAACTCGTTCTTACCTTTGTTAACAGCTCTCTGTTTATCTTGAAATTTATGGTCCCTGGGCCAGTGCTAATCTCACTCACCACCGTGTCACATTTAAGCTGAAAAGATACCAAATAATGTTAAACAGGTATGCTATACAATGGCTCTAATAATATACAAAATTCTAATACTAGACAACGGACTCACAATGGCAACATGTAAGTCATCTCCAGTCACTGCGGCTGGATCCCTTCCCTAGCCAACTCTTCAGTCCCATCAGTTTATTTAGGTAAGTATTTCCTGACTAGAATACCATTTTGTATTCAGAATCTTTTCTTACCTCAAAAAAAAAAAAAAAAAAAAAAAAGCCTTATTCCATTTATGGGGGCCTGGCCCTAGCTCAGGCCTTTAAGTGGCTGCTTCCACAAAGCTGTCAGCCTCAGGTTGCTGGAGTTCGAACCTCACACCTCTCCAGCTGGCCAAAAGTTCCCTGAAGGCATTCGAGGAACCAGAAAAAAAAAAAAAAAGCCTTATCTCACCTCAAATTTTCTACCTGTCACACAATGACCATTTTACCTCACCTTTCTTTCATAAGAGCCAGAGGATATGACACTGTCAGAGCCTACAGTAAGCAGCTGGACTAAATGGACCTCAGCAGGTGGTTTCTCCACATGGCCTTCACTGCTTCATGTGCCAGGTGCTCACACTCCTGATATAAACTCATGGAACTAAAGAAGTACCTGTCATCACTGAAGAGTGGGTAGACTGTGTGTTTAAGAATGTAGACGTAGTGGGAAGAGAAGAGCTTAAATATTGTAAATGAATTAATTCCACTTTGGGTGTACCTCCTCACAGAAACTTGACATGACTTTTCACCTCAAGACCATAGGTTAAGTGAAGTAAATCAGACATACAAATTTCAATAATGTATGGTTTCTCTTAGAGATCTAAAATATAAAGAACAAAATAAAGGACAGATTCTAGGAAATAGGGAAACTTTTTTCAAATGGGAAGGAGTACAAAGTATAGGGGAGGGAAGAACAAACAATTTAAAAGAGTTGAAGAAAAAAAGGAAAACAGTTTTTTCAAATGGGAAGGAGATCAAGAGCTGGAAAAAACAGAGAGCAACAGGGAGGGGATGGGGACAAAAAAGAATTAAAATTTGCTGTGCAAGGGCTAGGGAGATAGCTCAGTGAAAGGTCCCGAGTTCAATCCTTGGTACTGCAAAAAAAAAAAAAAAAAAAAAAAAAAAATAATAATAATAATAATAATAATTTGCTGTGCACATTTACAAAATCCCCACTATAATCATTATATATTGCAGATGTGTACTAATAAAAAAAATGGGAAGTCTCTACTCAGCAATCAAAGCTCCTTTATCATATTCATTCTTTATTTAAATACGTTGTTCTATGACAGTGACTTTCATTGTTCAGATTCTTCAGTTCCCTGTAGATCCTGTGCATCATATATAATAACATAATGAATATTTTTAAGAAAAAGAGACTTGTTCAATATCTTCCACTTATGAGGATAATTCAGCAAAAATTATGGTCACTTCTTGCATTTAATTCCTCTTTTAGATACCAAATCAAAAAAAAAAAAAACAAAAAAAAACACAGAATGTTTATCAAATCAACTAAACATTTATTGTCTGAAATCATGATTCTATTTACATTTAGTATTTTCATAATACTTGAACATTGCTATCAGAAACTCATTGAAAAATTATAACCCACTGCTCTAATTTATCAAACTTGTTCTTCTAAATTCTAAAATCTACCCAGCTTCCATCTGTAAACTTAGCTAACACTTTTTCTGTAAGTAGTTAATCAAAAAGCTAAACAATGTCAGCTTTAGAGAAATGTCTTACACTATGACAAATCACTAACCCTAGTGTGTACATGGGTAAAATGGATTTAAAAGATTTTTTCCAAGATGCTTTGAACAAAGAAAGATTATTAAACTCATTACTGTAGCTGAGATAGCCTGCAGAGCACTTTTTCCTTTAAAATGCTAAGTCTTGGAGCCAGGGAGATGGCTCAGTAGGATAAGCGCTTGACTGGCAAACGCAAGGATCTGAGTTCAATCCCAGGTTCCCGCCAAAATAAATAAATAAATAAAATGCTAAGCCTCTTATAATGTAAAATGAGGTGTTAAAATACCTTCTCTGCCAGTCTCTTGGCTTGAACTTGATTATCTGGTCTTGAATGGTCATTTCTGTTTCCCAATAAGGAATCCACAGCAAGCTGAAAATCAGCTACCCCTCTAAAGACAAACATTGGAATAGGAAAAAGTTAATTGTTACAATGATTACTATGTAACAAAAACTGCATTCTCCAGAGCAACACAGTTTTATCAGAAGGCAATATGCTTTCAAAACTGAAAAGCAATCTTTAGTAAACAGTGTTGGAAAAACTGGCTCTCTAGATACCAAAAACTAAAACTAGACCCATATATATCACCATGACCTAAACTAAAAATGGATCAAAAATCTAAATATTAAAACAGAAACGGGGGCCCACCCATTAGCTCAGTTGTTTAAGTACCTGCTTAAACGAAGCAGTCAGTCAGTCCCTGGGAGCGGTGGTTCCATTCCCAGATACTCAAGGCAACCCAGACCAGAGCT